AACTACTAATACCTGACTACTAACTACTAATCCCTAACTACTAATACCTGACTACTAACTACTAATCCCTAACTACTAATACCTGACTACTAATACCTAACTACTAACTACTAATACCTGACTACTAACTACTAATCCCTAACTACTAACTACTAATACCTGACTACTAATACCTAACTACTAATACCTGACTACTAACTACTAATCCCTAACTACTAACTACTAATACCTGACTACTAATACCTAACTACTAACTACTAATACCTGACTACTAATACCTGACTACTAACTACTAATATCTAACTACTAACTACTAATACCTAACTACTAATACCTGACTACTAATACCTGACTACTAATACCTAACTACTAACTACTAATCCCTAACTACTAATCCCTATCTACTAACTACTAATACCTAACTACTAATACCTAACTACAACTACTAATACCTAACTACTAACTACTAATACCTAACTACTAAATACTAATACCTAACTACTAATACTAATACCTAACTACTAATACCTAACTACTAACTACTAATACCTAACTACTAACATCTACTAGTAACTATTAACATCTACTAACATTTACTACCATCTACTAGTAACTATTAACATCTACTACTAACTACTAACATATACTAGTAACTATTAACATCTAGTAACATTTACTATTAACATCTACTAGTAACTATTAACATCTACTACTAACTACTATTACCTACTACTAACATTTACTAGTAACTACTAACACCTATTACCATGAGGCACATTTCAGAATAAGAGCATGACTTCCTGTCTGACCTTCAGCATGTCCAGGGACAGCTGGTGAGCAGGAGGGTATGTGCTCTCCAGGGACAGAAGAAGACACGCCTGGAAGACAAGAAGGTCCAGTTAGAGGTCCAACCTACACCAGAGGACTGTCCTCCAGACTCAGACTGTCTCAGACAAGGACAACATGCTGATGTGGGACACCTGGGACCAGTTCTGGACCTGGACTCACCAGTGGTTTGGAGTCACTCAGGACGTGGTACTGCAGGAACTGGTGCAGCATGTAGAACAGGCTGTGCTGGACCAGGGTCTTGATGACCAGCTCATACAGGTAATGCTGAAACACAGGTTAGACCAGGTCAGACCAGGTCAGGTCTGGTCCAGATCAACAGTTAGACTGGAGTCAGGTTAGTCTTTATGAAGGTGGTCCTGGTTTACCTGGACTGGGATCTGGTACTGGTTGAGAGAGCGGATGTACTCCATGAGCACAGCGATGATGAACTTGTGGGACACGTCCTGCAGGAGACACAGATCTGTCAGACCCAGCTGCAGGTCTACATAAGTTCTGACCCGTAACAGGACTTCCTGTCGGTACCTTCCTCTCGGTGAACGCTGACAGGACGTGAGTGTACATGTCCGACTGGTCGATGACGGCCTGGGTTCTGACCGGGCGCTTCTGAGTGGCGCTGCCTCGACTCGGACCGGACTCCATGGCCTAGGGACCCCACAGGAAGACTTTTAATCTGAAATCTTGTCTCGGGCTCCGAACGGTCCCTGAACTCACCGCCGTGTAGCTCTGCTCTGCATCCAGGTAGTCTTTGTAGACCTGGTTCAGCTTGTCCAAGACCGTCGCCACCACAGGAAGACTTCCCTTCTCCCGGCCGTCCAGAACTGGAACAGAACCAGGAACCAGACGGGTTACAGAGACCAACAGGATGTGGTTCAGACTACTTCCTGTCCCGCTGAGGACACGTACTCTGAGCGCACACAGACAGGATCACCATCTTGCAGTCTCGCCGCCGCAACAGGAAGTCCATCAGCTTGCCTTTGTCCTGCAGCAGGTGGACGGTGGGGGGCAGCTTGACCTGCAGGTACCACAGGTAACCTGACAGACAGGTGAGCACACCACACCTCAACCAATCACAGCTTCTGTTTCAAAATAAAAGCCTGAAATATTGGAACCGGTCTGACAAACCTTCACTGGCGCTGATGATGATGTCGGGCTGGAAGACGCTCCAGGAGGAAGAGTCTGGCTCAAAGTTCAGGAGGATCAGACTTTTTATCAAATTAAAGCGCTCTTATTTCAAAATAAAAGRATAAATCCTTGTTTTAAGGTGGGTTCTGGTCCATCGGAACGGATCGGTTCTGAAGGATACAGAGRTGACACGGAACCGGAGGCTGAGACTGGACCACAGCTGGACCTGCAGAGACACACAGACTCAGACTTCAGGTACCAGCACTCGGTTTGTGAGACCGGACCGGGTCTTCACCTGACAGAGGGATCCTGTAGGGGTGAATGGACCGGGCCGGCAGGACGGGCTGGTGCGTGTTAACAGAACTGTCCAGTTCCTTCAGTTTGATGTCAAAGATCAGGGAAGTCTGAAGTACAAACAGGCAGGAGGTCAGCAGGTTCTGCTCAGATTCTGCTCAGGTTCTGGGATGTGGGCCTCTCTGACCTGAGAACTCTGGTGATGAACCACCACCAGGTTGTCCACGACGTTCAGAGCAAATTTACCCGTCATGTTGAGCTTCAACACGTGGCTCTTCTTACACGGAGCCTCCCTGATGGAAACAAACTGATTCTTTTACCTGAACAAAGCTCACCTGAACCAGAACCAGGTGAGCAGYCTTACCTGGGTAAATGATACAGAACCACCTCAGCTCCTGGACTGTTGGCTGATCTGCACTGATGCTTCAGGTACATGACGTACAGCTGCCCATAGCTGCAGCCACAGAACACAGTCTGCTTATTTTACTGACACACATCAGACTGGACCCACAGACGGTCCAGTTCACTGATCTAACTAAACAAAGTCAGGCTTTTACATGGTCGCCATGGCGATGTCCCTCTCAGACAGGCTGAGCTTGGCCGGTTTGGGGATGACGGGCAGCTCAATCTCAAACTTGGTCATCTTGGACATGGTACTGTTCTGAATATAACAATTAATATTTAACTACAGATAATAAACATTAACTACAGATAATAAACATTAACTACAGATAATAAACATTTAACTACAGATAATAAACATTAACTATGATAATAAACATTTAACTACAGATAATAAACATTAACTACAGATAATAAACGTTTAACTACAGATAATAAACATTAACTACAGATAATAAACATTAACTACAGATAATAAACATTAAC